GCTAGCTGTAGTTCTTAAAGCAATCTCATAGCCAGACTGAACATTTGTGAAATCGTAAAATTTGCCATCTAAATTACATATAAGACACAGTTAACGATATGCTTCATTGGCTGTATGTGGCCACTTAAGTGATAGTGTAAATTCTTAAATGTACCTTAGATTGATTTATGTTTACAAACCTGTTAAAATCAGAGATTATATATATATATATATATATATATATATATATATATAAATATATATATATATATATATATATATATATATATATATATATATATATATATATATATATATATATATATATATATATATATATATATATATATATATATATATATATATATATATATATATATATATATGTCTTCAAAAGCTTTATATTGTTTTTTCCCTAGCCAACTATATTTTCCTTGAATTTAATTGCAGATCAGCTTCTTATGGCTTCTCCTAACAAATTCGTTTATGGTCTCCTCACCAATTTTGGAAAGCTCATTATCCTAAAATATAAATCAATTTGTAACATTAATCTAACTACCCCATAAACTTGATCATCCATGCTTAATTATATTAGCTTAAACTATCTAATAAAAATAAACAGGCTCTGTTAAAAAATCAATCGAACATTCATTTGCAAATTTTGGTTTCTCATAACCATGGTAAACGCCTATTAAATTTACAATTTTAGGATATATCAACAAATTATACTAACTAGGATAAAACTGACTATTAAAACTCTTTTTTAGTGGAATTCCATCAAAATTTACATACATTTCTGTAACATTGTTTTATTGTGAAGATAATTGAAACCTTTGAAATTTGAATAATATGGATCAGAGTATTTGTTCTCTGGGTGAAGCAAGTAGGGTTCTAGCATCTGAACTTAAATAAGAAAGATCAGGAACTTCTTTATGAATTTTAAATAAATCACCTAGTATTAAAGTCCAGTTGCAAAGCTTATTAGAAAAATTAAAAACATCTCGATAAGGTTCTCCAGAATTCTCGTTACAACCATATTTAGACCCTTCTTCAGTTTCATTGAAAAAAAAGCTTTGTAAAGGATTATCGGAATGGTCGTCCACGTGGTAATTTGGATTATTTTAGGTACTTATGTTAATAAAAAGTTTAAATCGGAAGTATTGTAACCTGTGAACTACATATTTGAACTGAAACTATCCTCAAAATGATCAATTGGTGATTCCGAAGAAAATTTGAGGAAGATGGAATATGGGGGTAATTAATATTTTCAACAATATTCTCTACGTTTTTCGTAACCTTCCTCTGTTGATGACGCTTAGAAACAAATCGTTTTCTTTTAAACATAACCAGTTTTAAGAAAAATTACACTTACCTTTTTGTAATAAAATAAAAACCAAATTCGGAAATAACCTAACAAAAATGGTACCAAACCCTTAACAATATTCTATAACCAAGCATCAAAAAAACCAATGCACTGTACACTTCTTAAATCGAGTCCTTTTATTAAAGCAATAATGATTAAACTGTGAAATATTTTTTTATTTTATTGAAATATTTGCTATTTGATCCCATAATTGGTAAATGTCGGCCGTCCAGAAAACGTCCGAGTACGGACGTCCATATTTAAGGTCAATTCAGACACAAAAGTCACGTCTCGTCACAGTGATTGTGACGAACCGAACAATCCGTCATACAAAATATTCTATATATATATATATATATCCCGTTTATAGCGTAATCCGCCTTTGGGTTCCCGTTCGCCAAGCCTGTCTATTCTGCCAGTCTTCTTCAAATAGATTTCTTGCTGACATGGCTTTTGAAATTCCTTGCATCCATGTTGTTGGTGGTCGTCCTCGTTTTCTTTTCTCTGGTGGTACCCATTCTAATATTTTTTTTGGTAGTCTTTCTTCCCCCATACGTCTAACATGTCCGTACCATGTCAGTTGTTGTTTTTCAATGTCTTCTATAATTGATCTTTGTACATTCATTTGATTTCTTATGTCCTCATTTCTCACATGTTCTAATCGAGACTTTCCCGCTGCTCTCCTCCAAAAATCCATTTCAACTGCCAAGAGGTTACCTTTAAGTTTTTGTGATAACTGCCATACTTCTGAGCCATACACATCAAAATATTCTTTAATACAAATATGTTGCCGGCATTCACACTCATCAGTTGACAAACAGTTTCCCAGCTGTCAGATAGTTGATAGTTCTGTGACCAAACAGGACCGGTTCGGCGCCGAGACTATGACGGGACTGATGTGTCTGAATTGACCTTTAGTCCACCCAAAGTACGTCCATTTTACGTCCGGACCAAAACTGGACGTATATTGGACGTCGTGTGTTACTAGGGGTTTTTTTTCTAAAAGTATTGTCGAAAATATTGATCCCTTCCGATATAACAGATTTTTGCTTGTGCCGACTAGGTTGTGGTCATAATTTCATGGCATTGGTCTGACGCCAGCGTACTCTCTACTTTAACTCCGCATATATTGCACTCTAAAAACCACTTTGCTCATAATTGTTTTTACAATTTTTATTAATTTATGGGGAATATTAAGTTCATTCATGGCTTCATATAATTTACATCGTATTCACGGTACATATGCTGACTTTAAGAGATGAAACGTATCAATATTAAATTCATTTGTTTTTTCTAAGATTTGACGTAGCACAAAATCTGGTAAATTGCTGACCTACCAGGCTCAAATCCGCTTTGATATTCACCAATGAGTTCTTCTAGGTACGCACGTGAACGGCTGTACAGGATTTTGGAGAATATTTTGTATATTCAAAAGAGTGACACCCCTATAATTTATTAAATTCCAACAAATCTTGCTTTTTGTGTAATGCACATACGGTTTCAATGCACCATTCCTCTAGCATTTGTTCTTCTTCCCAAACTTTGACTATTAAGCTGTGAATTTGATGTATAATGCTGTTAACTCCATGTTTGATGTGCTCTGCGGGGATGCAGTTAACTCCTGGAGGACACACTTTTGAGGCGTGTGATTGCGTCTCTCACTTCCAATATTGAAGGAGGTTCTACGTGCTGCTTGTACTACAACTGCTTTGTACTGCGTCACAGGTACTAACTATATGTCCATATTTGTCCCTACACATCATCAGCTGTGATTTAAATTTTTTTCTTGTGTTATTTAGGATGTTATACAAAACTTTCTAGTTTCACTTTGCACCTTTAGTAATTCAAGCTCTTGCATAATTTAGTTTTCCAAAGTCCTCTTTTTTCTTCGATGCACGCATTTTTCTTCACATTCATCATGAAACTAACCGTTGCGTGGAGTGGGTCCTTTGGTTCTAAGGCATCATTTGCCGCTTCCGTAATTGTTCTTCTACATTTTATGTTCCATGTCACAATTTTATTGTTTCCTTTCCTTTTTTTAATTTTTTGTGGTTATACAGGGTGACAATTGGCAATAGGACGATTTTGAACTAAATGAATACACAAGAAATTTGCAAGAAAATACTATTTTATTAACATCAAAATGAAGCTTATATTATGCCATTTACAATCTAATTAATTATGGAAAATAATGTCATCAAGATGGTGACCATCACGTTGGATGCAGTTTTCGATCCTCTTTATGAAATCTTCCATAACACGCTCTAACATCGCTCGATCAATAGTCCGGATTTCCTGGCGGATTGCGTTCTTCAACTCGATCAAATTACGAGGTTTGCTAGCATATACACGACTCTTCAAATACCCCCATAGAAAAAAATCACAAATTGACAGGTCTGGAGACCTTGGAGGCCACGGTAAATCTCCAAAACGTGAAATGAGTTGTCCTGGGAACAGGTTGCGGAGAATATTCATTGAAGCATGGGCAGTATGTGCCGTGGCACCATCCTGCTGAAACCACACATTCCTTGGGTTTATCCCTTTTCTGCGTAGTTCTGGAACCAAAAAATTTTGGATCATGTCAACGTAGCGAATAGAATTAACGGTGACGGATTGGCCAGCCTCTTCGAAAAAATATGGCCCAATAATGCCAGTTGGACCAATGGCACACCACACTGTGACTTTTTGAGAATGTAAAGGACGCTCATGAATATTTCGTGGGTTTTCAGGAGCCCAGTACCTGTAGTTCTGTTTATTAACGGTTCCGTCCAAATGGAAATGAGCTTCGTCACTCATTAGAAGATGCTGACCAAAGTTATCCTCCAAAAGAACTTGCATTCTCGTAGCAAAATCCTCACGTTGTTCAACATCTCATTCCATTAATTTCTGGACAATCTGCATTTTGTAGGGGTGAAATTTTAGGTCCTTATGCAACATTTTTCTCAACGTTTCCCGATTAATGTTTAGCTCAATTGCATGTTTTCGGGCGGATCGTGTAGGGCTTCTGACGACGGCATCTCTCACTCGCTGTATGTTTACAGGAGTTGTTACTGTTCTATTCAGACCTTGTTGCTTTTTTTTCATAACACTGCCTGTTGTTCTAAAATTCTTTATCCATCTTAAGATTGTGTTGCGAGATGGAACCGCTCCACGCCTACCAATATTAAAGTGAATGCGAAAAAGCCGTTGCGTAATGATCACGGATTCTTGATTTCGGATAAACGTATCGTATGTAAACGTGCGATGTTTTACCGTCCAGTGCTCCATGTTTACTGAAATGGCACACTACTACAGACGTAGTAACGCCGCGCTTGTCCCCCTCTCCTCCCCTCAAGCTTCGTACTATGCGTCCTAAAAACATCCGGGTCCCGATTGTCACCCTGTATTTATGATTTAATATTTGTATTGTGTGTATTAATGTTGCTTGTTCAATATTGTCCCCCATGGTTAATAATATATTAATTTAATAATAGATTCTTTTGTACACCAAGATTTTTCTTCAATTTATCATAACGGGATAATAAAAATTAATAAAACATTAGTATATTTTAGATATATTTTAGTAAATCAACCATATAAAAATATTAATTAGGAATGTAACACATAAAATATTTATTAGATTATATATAAATACAAAAACACAATATTTTAGAATATAGCAGATTAAAAAAATCCGGGATTAGTATGTTCTATCACGCATCTTTTACAATACTTTTTAACAGCTCTATATCCCTCCAAGGATATCTGACAATCTTGAATATTCAACTGTTGCAGTCCTCTGCAATAATAAGCCACGCATTGAACTCCTCTATCAGTAACCAAATCACAATTCCGAAGACTGAGTTTCTTTAAATTTGGACAGCTCTCTGCAAGGGCTCTCAATCCTGCATCACTCACATCACACTTTCCGATATCAAGAGCTCTAAGCCTCATGCACGATCTGGCCAAAACATTAATAGCATCGTCGGAAACAGCTTCACAGCCTCTTGCATTTAAGTACCTCAGTTTGTAACATTTTTTCGCAATAACTTTCAATCCTGCATCGCTAACTTGATCACATTTGGCCACCGAAAGGTATCTTAGAGTAGCACCCAATTTTGCTAATTCGTACAAACCGAAATCGGTTATGTTTGAACAATCACTAACACTGAGCTCTCTTAATCCAGAGCAAAAACTTGGAATGTACTTCAGACCAGCATCTGAAACAAATAAATATTAAACGTAAATTGTAAGTTTTTTTTATTTAATTAATGGCTTTGGATAACTTGATCCATTCAGCCACGATAATGTATTTGACTATTGAATTTGTTAATGATGTATTAACCTATTGCATTTGTTAAAAAATAGTACTTCGCATAAATAAAGTAAATTAAAATATAATTAAATTAAAAATTAAAGCGTAAATTAAAAATATAATGTAAACATCAGTATCACAAGAATCAGTATATTGACAAGAAACCATACTTTCATTCGTTCCATTCAAGGCCCTAACCAACTGAAAGTGAATATTTAGAACCAACAAGGGATTACATAAGGTTTGTTCCAACCAGAGTCAGAAACAAGTTGCAGAGGTCAGGATTCTGCGCAATAACATAAAAGCGTTCCAACCGAAATTACAAACAGTCAGCAAGCAAATAGTTTTCTGTTCCAACCACACCAACAACTTGTTTGCTGACAGTCAAAACAGTTTGCGGATTTTCTTTGGACAAGAAATTTGGGGCATGCGTAGTACCGTTTAATAGTCGATTGGTTTGTCAATTGTCAACGGAACGGTTCTGTTTACTGTTTACATATTGTTCTATGAACCCAACCCCAGTCGGGAACGCCGAACGCTTAGGTTAAAGTTTGTTTACCAATATAAATATTTTATTTGAGTTTTACTTAAAGTGATAACGTGATTATATAATTTGGGTATATATTGGGTATTTATTTAAAATCTGTACAAATTACTGACACTGAGTCGTTTGGTAAAATGTATGTAAACAGTCAGTCGCTCAATCACAAAATAAAAGCAGAAATGAGAGGATGGATATGACAACAAACAACAGACAATTGACAAATTGTCGGTTGTTCCAACTACCTATCACTAATCAATCAGGAAGTCAGATATTTGATGACATGCGCAGTGGGAACAATCCACAAACTGTCAGAAACTTGTCTGTGATTCATGGTTGGAACAAACCTATAATATAGGGATACTTTTCACGAGAAGTTGCCTTTCATAGGGACTTTATTACAACACAAGACAGGCGACGCGACGGCTAGGAGGTAAATATATAACATCAGGACAGACAGATGGAAAAAAGCTAGATTTATACATTCACATTACACATTCCATCCTAAATTTTTCTTTTAGTCCTTTTTAAACATTCCCAAAAAATTTGGTTAAGCCTAATATTATGACGGGAGATATAAAATAGAAGATTGATACTGAGGAAGAGGTATTTGTTCTTTTATCAGATTTTCCAATAGATACTTAATAGCAGCATATATGCACCCGAACATCCAATTATTCCGTTCCCATCTTCAGATCGCTAGGGAGCGAATGAAGAAACGGTACGATACGCAAGCCGAAAAGGGGTGTTTTAAGAAGAACGACAAAGTCTGGCTCTATAATCCCAAGAAGCGAAAAGGTTGTTCTCCCAAGTTGCAGCAGTTTTGGGAAGGTCCGTACCTCATTATGGAGAAGATCAATGATGTCATCTACCGAATAAGCAAGATTCCGACGGGAAAGACGATGATAGTACACCATAACCGGCTGGCGTCTTTCGAAGGTGACCACGACGTAGATGAAGAAGTGGAAGTGAACCAATTCCAAGATGTGTCTGACCTCACGTTTGAGGAATTCATGGGTGCCTATGGAGGTACCGGTAAAGCAAAACATGGTGTTACCACTGAAGAAAGGCGAGATCTACTCGCGCTACCCAATGACTACTCACTGGCCCCTCCCATCCCGGCCAGTATCAAAGACAAACCAGGGTTGGCATCCGCCTTTCGAAGGAAGTTTGGCCGAGTTGCAGCACTGCAATGCCAAGTGCCAGCTCCCGGGAAAACCGTGAAACTCGAAGATGCATAACGTTACCTTTTCTACCTGGTAACAAAAGACACTGCCCGTGATCAACCTACCTACCGAGATGTATGGGAAGCCTTACTTCAATTGAGAGAGCACGTATTAGAGTCCGACGTGCAAAAGTTAGCCATGCCAAAGTTGGAGTGCCGCCAATTAGATTGGAGGGTTATTCGAAGTATGGTGGAAGAGATCTTTTAAGACACCGAAGTTCAGGTGTTAGTCTGTTCAATCCGCATAGTTACTGGTGCGGAGAGAAAACAGTCCCTTGTCATTTTTACACAACTGGAAATTGTAAAAGAGGGTCCAGTTGTCGATACAAGCATACCGTTCCAGTTCCAGTCCCGACAAGGTTCCAGGAGGAACCATCTTTAAAGAGGGGGCAATGTTACGATAATTATGACTGATACATGTTTTTCTAATAAGTATTTTTCTAGTAGATAATATCTAAGGGACCCCTACGCTAAAACCAGTTCCATGGCGTTGGAGACAATTCGCCGCTCAGCTGAATAAAACCGGTCTGCCTTCCATCCTTTTCCAGAAAATACCGTCCAAATTCGAAGGGATTCTCGATTAACGGTATTTTATATTTAAAGAGGGAATTTTGTTAAAAGCAGTTAGTTAGTTTTGAATATCGAGTTGGTTTGAGTCCGAAAATATAAATAAATATTGTGAAATAAATTACTAATAAAGGCTTGAATACATTTGTAAGTGTTATAAATAGAACCTTTGATAATAAATAAAGACAATAAATTAGATTAATAAAAATACTACACTATGAAGATAGGCTTTCACAGTTGCATGATTAACAAAGCATCTAACAAACATTGAATATACTCTTCTATTAGGATGACTTCTTGCAGCAAAAGCCGCAGTAGGTAAAACGGGGTGAATTTTTGTATAAAGGTTGTTACTTATGTAACAAGAAGCATTCCATTCAATTTCCCAGTTTTCTTTTAATTCTTGTTTACGCAGCGAGACTAAATCACCTATAAATCACTATTGAGCCAACTAATTTCTAATCCTTTTGAAGCCGCTTCTTTAGCAAAATAATCTGCTTTGGTGTTACCCGAGATAACAGCATGTCCTTTTACCCAAAGGAAAGAGACTTAATTATTTCTTTTAAGTAGCTTTAGTTGATTTTCTAAAATTTTGACGATAATACTGTTTTTGTATAAATGCTTATGCGAATTATCTAAAGCAAAGCTTGTGGCGAAGCTATTATCTGTTGTGGCGAAGCTTAATCATTTGTTGTATATGGATGATTTGAAATTAATGGCTTCCACTCGAAACCACCTAGACCAGATGTTAAAAACTGTTGAAAATTTCTCAAATGATATTAGTATGCACTTCGGTCTTGACAAGTGCCGTGTCTTAAATATACTCAAAGGAATGGTTCAGCCCGGCGGATTCGATATGCAAAAGGGCCAGAACATCGATGCCATGGGTGAAAATGATATTATCGGAATAAAGCAAGCGCGGAAGATTGACCATAAGCAAATGAAAACTGAGATAACAACTGAGTTTATACGAAGAGACAGCTGCTTCGTTCACACCTTAACAGTAAAAATTTGTTTAAGGCACTAAACAACTACGCATGTTCCGCGCTTAGCTCATTTGGTATTGTTAAGTGGACAAAAAAGGATATAGAAAATCTTTAGCGAAAAGTACGAACACACCTCACAAAGGCACAAAAACACCATCCTCGAAGTGCAGTAGAAAGAACGACATTACCGCGGTATTTAGGAGGACGAGGACTTATTGATATAAGCGAGCAATTAGATAAACAGATTAATAATTTAAGAACTTATTTTCAGGTACAGGCAGAGACATCTACTCTTCATCGCACGATTTGCGCAGTAGATGACACAACACCGATCAACCTGAGGGAACAAGAAATGCGCATAAACCATCTTACTAAGAACGAAAAAATGCGCATCTGGATGGGTAAACCTCTGCACGGGCGACATCCGAATGAGGTCAGTCAAGACTATGTCGACAATATACCGTCGAACTATTGGCTGACATCAGGAAAGATGTTCCCTCAAACAGAAGGTTCATTACTCGCCATTAGGATCAGGTTATACCAACCAAAAATTACCTGAAATATATCGTCAAAGACCCTCAGATCCAAAACGACAAATGCCGATATGGATGTCAAGCCCAAGAAACTATCCAACATCTTACTGGAGGCTGCCAGGCATTTGCAGCAACTGAATATAAGGAACGGCATGACTCAGTAGGGAAGATCCTCCATCAAGAGATAGCTTTTAAACTGGGACTTCTACAAACAAACCATCTCCCATATTATCAATACGTTCCTGAGAGTATGCTTGAGAATGACAACTACAAGCTATACTGAGATCGCACTGTGCTCACAGACCAAACTGTAGCACATAATAGATCAGATCTCGTACTAGTTAATAAACTAACAAGAAAAACAACTCTAATCGATGTGGCGATACCTAACAACAATAATCTAGGTATTGTTCTGAAGCTATTTTCTTGTGGCATTGTAAATTAATTATTATTAAACTGGGAATAAACCACAATTAAAGATAAAAATACGTTTATTGACGTTTCAATTTCCACTTCGAAAATTGAAATGTCACCAGAATTCAATAAAGTGAACTCATTTGGGTTACATTAAGAACGAAGTATATAAAATACCTTCAACAACAAGGGATATAAAAAATAGAATCCGAACTGCATTTTTAAATATTTCTTTACAAATGCTTAGTAATGTAAGTAACTCTTTCAATGACCGCTTTCAAGTATGCATCGATGTTTTGGGAGGTCATTTTGAACGCCTTACTTAAGTATGATTAGTTAAAATTACAGTTGTTTTTTATTTTTTTATGTGTTGTTATTTTTTTTTATTTTCTGTCAGTTATTTTTTATAAATTTTATTTGAAACAAATTGTTTTCTTTTCTGTGTCGTTATCTCGTTACTGAATTAAAAAACAATAATGTCAAACTGTCAGTTTCTGAGAAAATATCTACCAAATTAATACTTAGAAAATTGATAACTTTAGGTATAGGGAGTATTCCATAAAATGTAAAGTACGATATTAGTACTTTTCGATAGTGACTTAAAATACAGGGTGTTCTATTTAAAATTATCAAGAAAAT